CATGGACCAGCTACTAGAGGGATGTCAAGAGTTCACATGCGCCTACCTAGATGACATAGCCATCTTTAGCGACACGTGGGAGGAGCACCTGGCCCACGTGGGGGCCATCCTAGACCGCATCTGCAGGGCAGGGCTGACAGTGAGACCAGAAATATGCCAGTTGGGAATGGCTGAGGTACAGTACCTTGGGCACAGAGTAGGGGGGGGACACTGAAAACCTGAACCAGCCGAGGTTCAGGCCATTTATGACTGGCTCACCCCCCAGACCAAGAAGCAAGTGATGGCCTTCCTCGGCACTGCCCTGCCGGTTTTTACCGTAAATTTGTGCCTAACTTCAGCTCTACGGCCCAGCCCCTGTCCGACCTGACCCTAAAGAACAGTCCCCGGATGGTGACCTGGACCTCGGCCTGTGAATCCGCCTTCCAGGACCTCAAAGCTGCCCTGGCGAGCAACCCCATCCTGGCTGCCCCCTGAGCACAACAGATGCTTCCTTGTGCAGAACAGACGCCTCCACCTATGGCCTAGGGGCTGTCCTCAGCCAAGTCAATGAGGCTGGGGAGGAACATCCCGTCACTTTCCTCAGCCCGCAAACTACTGGACCAGGAAGTGGAGAAGGAATGTCTTGGCCATAGTCTGGGCCCTAAAGAAACTACAGCCCCTACCTGTACGCCGGGAGTTTACCATCGTCACCCGATCACGAACCTTCTCACATAGGCTGAAACGGGTGTCCCGGACAACAGGCGCCTCCTTAGGTGAGCCTCGACCCATCCAGCCCTACAATTTCACCATTCGATATAGACGGGAAGCCAAACACCAAAATGCAGACAGCCTTTCCCGCCAACAAGATCCACAGTAGTGCTAAGTCAGGGCCCACAAGTACCTTCATGGGAACCCGGTTTGGGTCCCCCTTGCCGGCACTTGTGAAATGGAAGAGGGGAGGAGTGTCACAGCTGCCCTCCCTCTCAGGCCCCTTGCTCTGTCCCTGCTCCCTCTGCTGTCTCTCATACCGTGCCCCTCCCCCTTCTGCTGAGATGAAAGGCATTCCTAAGGCAATGACTACGGCCAAAGGGCCCCTTTTCCCCCTGGCCCAAAGGGTCAGCAGGAAACCCAGGCGCCTAGGAAACCCCCTTTCCCCCCCAGAGTGGGGAAGGACGTCTGCTAAACTCCCGGGGGTCCGTGATTACATGGGTTTTGGGCCCGCTTCCCTTGGAAAAGTTTTTTGTTTACCCACAAACCCAAACCCCCCGTTTGGTTTTATTGAAATACAAGGAAACTAAAAAAAATCCCTGTTTTGGGTTACCTGCTAAGGATCCCCCCGGTCTTGGTGTTGGGCTTTAAGTGTGTTGGTCCTTTCCCTGGGGCCCTGGTGGCTTTTTTCACCCTCCCCGCCCAAATCCCCTTTTGTGACTTTTCATCTGTTTGCCCCAATAAAACTTTGTTTGGGGCCCTT